AGATAAACACAGACATGATATGAGTCAGACGTTATGTTTCGTAAACATTTTCCAAAGGCTGGTCCGAGGAGATAAAGAGTAAACAGTGGACAGGCATTATGAGCGCTGTAAGTGTGAAATAGTCGAGAGAGAGAGAGAGCGCACATATAAATGCTGGAAATAGATACAGGGTGTGTACTGAAGAGGAGACAATAAAGGATGTGGAGAGGAATGCAATTAATTAACTAATTGAGGTAATGTCCTGATGACAGATTTACAAGTTTGAAAGCCTCAGTGATTCACATTATCATATATGGACTTAAAATGAGCTGGCAGAATTAATATACGTGACTGAAAAATGGCCTCAGGAGAATTTAGATAATTACTGGCAAGTCCCACCATGTTGGAATAACACAAAACAATTGTCTATATATAACTTGTGTGTGTGTGTGTGTGTGTGTGTGTGTGTGTGTGTGTGGATCTGTGTGTGTTTGTGTGAGCAATATTTCCAGCTCAGTGGATTTTTATCTCATCTCTGACATTCTGGTTCAGAGCTGCTCTCCTGCTGCTCTCCTGCTGCTCCTTTGATCTCCTCTTCCCATTCTGCTCCGGTCTCCTCTGACTCCCACTCACTCTGACCTCCGGGGACTGTCTTCCTGACTGCGGGCCCCGATGTGCACCGCGTGAGGCTGGGGATCCGAAGGCGGTGGGCAGAGCCTGTATAGCCTGGAGGGTCACAGGCCAGCAGGAGGGACTTTAAGGGCTTTAGTTGAAACAATGGCTCAAATTGTAGTCACAGAGGTGGGAGATGACAAGCAGAGAGGTTGGGGAGGGAGGGGTTGGAGGTTTTTTTGCTTTGTTGACAGTAAATGTGTGGTTCACTTCCTGTAGAGATGTGAATGATTGAGCAAGGTTGCTGTGTGTGGGATTTGACGGTGGGCAGCTGATCATTTGTGTTGTTTTCAGTCGACAACTTTTCTTCTTCCAGAAGCTATCGCTGGCTTAAGTCAAAAGTCCTCTGCTCTGCTCTGATTTGTTCACATATCCCACAGTAAGTTTTGATACGAGCATATACGAGAAGGTCACATCACCTGACATCACCACTTCTGCAGATACTGGAGTAAAGAGATGATCTAGGTTTGCAGCAGCTTGATGTTTCATTCATGAAGAGTGTGCTTGTCTGCATGATTAGGCTTTGCATGCTGTTAAATTAGAAAACGCATACTTATATGCACACTACATGTTAAGTGTTCACTCCAAACCACAGAATTATTTATTGTGTTCCCAGTTGGATCTCTGTCAGGATGTTTAAAAATGGATACCACACCCAGGTACAGTACATATGAATAGGCTGACAGGCTCTGTGGTGGCAGGTGTGGTTACGCTGCCTAGGCTTGTTAACCCTCCCATTTATTCAGACTTGAGAGCAGCTTGTGCATCCTCACCGGCTGGGTTCGAGGAACCGGGGATCGAACCTGCAAACCCAGAAATCAACAGGCGACCTGCTCTGTCACCTGAGCCACGCCCCCTCTGGACGCACAGAGACAATAATGCATCAGATGCAGTATATCAAGTATATTACAAAATCTTGAATAGGCTACATCAAGTGAAATGAAAGGAATATTTTGCAACTCCACTTTTATACATCATATTTTTCTATTATTAACATACACTTACATTATGTCTAAAGTCATACAATCTCACTTTCCAAGATACTGTTAAATAAGTCCAGCTGGTGGTATACTCTGAAGTTGTAAGATGTAAAAACTCTCCCTTAGGAGGAGAAGGATGCATCACCTCCTCTTCTTTGGGGTTTAAAACAGCTGAATGCCGGTGTTCTTCATGGGTTACGTTGGTCCTGGATGCAGGTATAGCTCCTTTTGTTTGGTTAGTCCTGTTTTCAAAGATGGTGTGACATATTGTTGCTCATGTACCCGTTTGAAAAACCAGAAAATACTAGCACATCCTGTCCAGTCACCATGACTATAATAAGTCTGTCCTGGTGCTGTGCAGAAGAGAGCTGATCTGAGAACTGATAGCGGTGGATGGATTTATAAGAAAAAGCCTTTTTCTCATTTTCCTCTACCAACTGCAGCACAGCATGACATGACATGATTCTCACTTCTGATGCACACGTGAAGTCACAAAAACACCAAATATTACAGCAGAGAACCTTCTTGTTGCAGAAAAGCATGAGGTTTATATTTTGAAATGATTATTTCAGTCTTTCACTAACAACTTTTTCTGAATTTCATCTATGATTTCAAAGACTGACACCCTGATATGTAGTATTTAACAAAGCTGATGTATCAATATATCAGCAAATCGGTCTATAACACGAGTCTGACTGAGCTCGTGTGTGTGTGTGTGTGTGTGTGTGTGTGTGTGTGTGTGTGTGTGTGTGTCTGTCTGCTCAAGCAAAGGATTTGGAGTCGGTGTGCATGATTGGCACACAATGCAGATGTGTGGGCAGCAGATGCCATCTGGAGAAAGCGGAGTGGGCTGGTGGAGGGAGGGGATTTGGGGGACGGGGATGGGGGGGGGGGGTTGGGGTACTCCACTAACCCCCCCCTCCCCTCCAGAAAAAAAGGCTGCTAGTTTGATGGGAAGATAAAGGAAATGATGCGAGTGTAATCAATCAAAAACACTGTGACACACATAAAAAGACGAGAGACACAACCCGCCCACTCACACCCTGTGTCCCGACCGCCATCACGGTCCGTCATTGTTGGTCCATAAAACTATGCCGCCATTGGTTGAATAAGATCAAAAGCACATCCCTCTCCTGGCTTATTTTTTTTTTTTTTTTTTGTTAAAGGTTGCCAGGCTTGTCTTCAGGGGAAAGTGCCTTTCATCTGGGGGATGTAGTTTTGGACGATCAATGTTTGTAGGTAAATTGGCCAATTTTGTTAGAGTACCAGATGCTTTGCAGGAGAGACTATAACGCCACAACGCCACAATACAGCGTCCCAGGAGACCCTCAAAAACCTACGCACACTTCTTCATCTCTTCCAAATCAGCCTCCGCCTTTGAGCAGTCCAAGATCAGGACTCCAGCGCTGCCCTCGCAGACCAGTTCGACATTGAAACACTTTACTCCGTCTCTCTCTCAGTGGCGTCCGCGATGGGAAAACAAAGACACATTATGTCTGTTGAAGTGTGACAAAGGCAGGTCTATTCGCAGTGAGCTCATCCCTATGAGAAAAACTCCTAGATGTTTCCTTGTATGGGCAGAAATAAATATATTTTTGCCAAGCTTTGGAAGCCTGAGGTTGGTGTGACAGCTACGAAAAAAAAAAAAAAAGGCATGGGAACTGGAGCGCTTAGGATCTGCCAAACGTGGATGCTAGAGGCTACAAGTCTTATGTTTCCACACAAAGACACATTCATGTATGTTTGACGCTGGAATGATATGAGAGAAAAATGAATTCAGACACCTGCTGAGAGCGAGGAAAACTTTCTTGTAACTGTCTCACCATCACAAAAGCCATTCTAAGCCAAATGGAAAAAAAAAATGCATGCAGGCCTCATTTAAAGCAGAGCAGATTTCACTCTCATAATAATATTCAGGCACTTTTCTGATTTCGTGTGATGGAATTCTGTTTTGACTTTCCACCCTTTGGAAAAGATCAGCAGTCCTACAGTTGATAAGGATCCAATGACTTGCCCAAGGACACTTTTCAACATGGTGGATGTTTTCCAGCTGAATCACTGTCTCTGTAATGTGTAAAAGGCCGCATTCCACTCTGAAGGAGACACAATATTATCAAAGCGCCGGCTGTGGATGTTGGGATCTATCTGAAGTCAATGGAGGACACGGAAGGCCCGAACCTGCCCACACAGTGACAATCTCCTCTGCAGATCATTGAAAGGTTGCCTGCCTGCCACTGCGATGGGCACCTCTCACGGGGGCAATTGAAGACCTGTGTGGGAGGACATAAAAGAGCGAGAGCACCGGGGGCAAAGCCCAAAACCTGGGCACAGCTGGCTCTTCTCAAACACGAACAATGAAGCCTTTGTCTGAAGAGAAACTGCAGGAGTAACATCAATTCCTGTGCATCAGTCACCTTCGGAGCTCCCTGAAGAACAGCAGCTCTGCTCTGCTCTTATAGATGGATGAGTGTGCAGATTCATCATAAATACCCATAAAGCCTTGATAATATTAGAATAATAGCAAGTGACTAATCCAATACAAGCCCCGCCACCGATCACAAAACGGCATTGTCAATCCCACAAAGTGCAATACCATGTAATGTTAGCGGGGTCATGCTCATGCTTGTTCTTTAATCCAATTGTGGAGGCGGAACAGGCGTCAATATCTCCGCTAGGTGGCGACCTTGGTCCGATGCGGCTCACCTTGGACAGCGCCGCGCTTGACTGGAGCCAGACTACATGCAGGATCAGCACAGTGTGACTGCTGAGGAGCACAGAGGACGAAAACTGACGCATTGCATTTTGTGCATGTATCGATATGTGATCGAGAGGCAGAACATGTGTGTGATTTAAAGTTGAGTAAGCGGTGATGGAGCAGACGACGTGTCCTCAACACAGCTCTGACATATAGGCAGCGCACGCTTCCCAGTCGTTTTCACTGTTGACTAACAGGACATTTCCACCCGCAGTTTATTCTTGTAGTGTCAATCGGTGACTCAGTCTCACAGTGAGTTATTTTACATCGCCTTTTGTACCTGCGGGGAAAAGCCACCTCACACACTCGCCACCTCACAGCTTCTCTGCCTGTGGTGTCCACTGGTAAATAAAAGAGTGAGTTGTTAGGGGTGTGCAGGGAGGGAGGGGTGTGGGGGTGTGGGGGGGGGTAGTTAATGATTATTGCCCCCCCTTCTTTTCTCCCCCTGTTCGCTGTGTTTCCTATATGGATTGACGGGGTCCGCGTCAGAGCGCACAGACATAGACTAGACCCGCCTCCCTGGCTGTGGTGCGCTCGGTGCGTCTCTCTCCCCCTGTGCGCTTCAAACCCATATTCCACTGGGAAAGAGAGAGAGAGGGAGAGAGAGGGAGCGAGAGAGAGAGAGTGCAGGACCCTGGGATAAGAGCAACGAAAGAAAAAGAGGAGAGAAAAACGGAACAACGACACAAATGGCACTCATGGCAGGGATTTTGTTCACGGCCACCTTTCTTGTTTTTGGGATATCTACATTTGTTTCGTCGGCACGGATATACCCCCCAAATGAAGGTAAGGTTATCGGGAGAAAAAATAACTGCCGCGGACTTCTGACTTCATCCTGCCCGCTCCGTGTGTGCGTGTTTGCGCCGCGGAGCCTCACTCCGTGGCCCCTATAGTTGCGAGTGCTTGGAGCCCGCGATGAGTTTAATGACGGGAAAACACGGACGGTCACCTTTTTACGCAGTGACTTTTGCTGGTTTCATGTGAACGAAACTGGAAGGAGAAGCGGTTGTCCCGAGTCCCCCGCATCGGCTGTTTTGGTTTCGGGTCGGGCTTGGATCGTGCCAGCTGCCCGAGCGGGGATACTTGTAGCCCCCGATGCGTGCTGATCTCTGCGCAGAGAGAAGGTCAAGCCGATCTCTGCTCGAGAAGCAGTTTAACGTTGCGTTGCATCGATGTAAACGGACCTGTAGCACAGAAATGAAGCGGATTTCCGAGTCAGTGGGAGACCAGCAAATTCGGCACGGATCCGACTGAGCAGGCAGCTCTTTATTTATCAGTTTGAGAGCTGCTCACGGTGATCGCTCCTGCTGTCACAGTGCGATTAGGTGGAAAATGATTGTAGAGATTAAAGGGAAATGAATTATCGAAGTTTTATTGAGCTGCTAGATACGCAGAGAATTAAAGAATAGTTTCATGCAATTATCAAATGATCTTCGTTTTGATCTTTGTTTTAGCAGGTAGAAGCTTCTTACTGAAAAGCGACCAAGCACTGAACTGCAGGATGTTTAAACCGAGCGTGGTGTGTCCCGACACTAAACCAGATCTGTGACGCTCTCAGGGCTGGAGTTGCCTGCTCGGGCTCCCAGCGCGCAGTGTAGTCGATCCAGTTTCGAAATGTTGGGCCCAGCTCAGGACGCAGCCTGTTTTTTGTTAGTTTTTTGTACTGCAAACACAAATAAACAAAAGACTTGATTTAAAACAGCCTCATCTGATGCATGAAGTCTGTCCTCTGCAGGACTGACTGCTCTGCCTCTGTCCTGATCGGCAGAGCAAGCTGTTTGACACAAGTCCACAATGATGCATCACGGGCTCAGTTTATTCAAATATGAAACAAATGCTCCAAATTTAAAACGGATCAGTCTCTATTGTACCTAATAAACCATAATGTAAACAGTGGAGATGCATAAGGAGCTTATTAAGCCATTGATTTACGATTAACAGTTGATTACGCATTTTACCAACACCGAATTCAAAAAACCCCTAAAATAAATCCACGCGTCTCTTTGTCATTTAATTCAATCGAAAATATGTTTAAATTAATGTTTTACTTTTATTTTGTAGGAGGCAGACTCTCGCGTTTTAAATGCGTTTTGTTCCTCAACGACCAAGTTTCTGCACACGGCTCTCTAACTGATTCCGATCGCATTTAACAGGCTCGAAAGCTGCTGCTGCTGCTGCTGAGCAAAGTGAAAAATCATTATTTTAAAGACACTTGGGAAATGCATTTGTCATTTGTAGAAAAATCTTTTTCCTAACGAAAATCAATGGAAACGACGCCCGCGAAGCCCAGCAGGGATTTCCACACAACAAAACATTTGGCCTACACTTTTTATTCTCTCTCTCTCTGTGTACTCGCATCCATCATGAGCATATTTCTATGGTCAATAAATCCTTTAACCATTATTCGCATTTTCATTAAGCCTTTTAAAAAAAACACACAGCAGCCCCGTTTTCCCTCCTCAGTGTGTGAGACCTATAAGTGGATTATACTTGCCACTGCTGATCGTTGTATGGACGGACTGAGACAGCACGCTCACCTCTCCCATTCTTGTTTTCCAGTCACGTTATTGGACTCCAGAGCTGTACAGGGGGAGCTGGGATGGGTCGCCAACCCGACAGAAGGAGGGGTAAGTACTGCAAAGAAGTGTCCCCTTGTTAGGACGCATGATCCCCTATTGAGCAAAAATGGAGAGATAATATCCATTATTGGCAGGAGCTCTGGAGTGGACCGCCAAATAGATACACAGCCTTCTTTGATAAGATTTTGTCCTGGTGAGCCCTTTATGGGAATATCTTTGTCTGTGATTTATTGTGCAGCTGTCTGCACTGTAGGGTTATTAGGCTCAGGGTGAGATCAAGGCGCAGCCTAATTTCCAGTGTCTTACATTTAAATATGGATAAATCAAGAATTTGCCATTTTTGTTGTGTGCCGAGACCCTCTGGAACACCCTGCAGGGCCCCATGGGGTCCCCGGAATTCACTTTGAGAAACCATCGGGTCTATAGGCACCCCTCCTCACCCCATTCTCCCCTTTCTCCTCGCTCCCCTTCTCTCCTAACCACTCTGTAATGGTCAGATGCTGGGGCCGATACTGCAGCGGGCGTCAGATTTCCTGAATAGACGGTGGATTGAATCGGTCTTTGTGGGGAAACTTTATATCCCTTTCCACCATTGAGTCGAAGAGAGGGAGCGAGAGGGAGAGGGGGAGAGAGAGGAACTTGGCAGCTGAGAGAGGGTCCTCTGGAATGGATGAATAAAGGGGGAAAGTGCAGTGGGGTTCAGCTCTTGCCGCAGGACGACTGGGTCGGGCTTTAAGCAGCGGGGGAATAGGGTCGACCAAATGCGTGATCTCTCAGTCTAATTGGGATATCTACAGTGGCTCCGAGTGGGGGAAAGAATAGGGGCCGCAGTTGGGCCCTCAGTGGCCCCGATGTGCCACGGGCATTCGCTTGTTAGGGAAAGGTGAGGCACGTGCTTTGCCTTTAATCAAGGCTAAATTTGATCACATAGAAAATGGCCTGAGATGTATTTGAATGCCTTACTTTCGGAGGCCAGCGGTGACCTAAATTAATCAATGTTCATAATAAGCACCAGTCAGACCTCCATTTGTTCTACTCACAGAAATGTGATGCCCACAAGCACAAGCCTTTTAATCCTTTATGAAGGTTAATACAAATTATCAACAAATGGATGTGAACCCAGGGGAGCAGGATTTCACCTTCAGGCTCTGCTGGCAAGCTTTTCTCCATAAACTTGGCTGTTGCTCGCCGCACTCAGGTTCTTCCCCTTGGCCATTTTATCACAAACCAGTGATTGACAGGGTCCTGGCAGCCCCCGTCAAGCCTGCATTCACCCCCTCATTACGACCAATTGGCCTTATTCTTCCTCTTCCCTGCTATCAGAGGAAGGTGCGGCCTTATCTCGACGCTGCTTGATTTCCACAACAAAAGGGGTGGGGTGGGGGTTAAAGGAAGAGAGCAGAGTGGAATGGAAAAGCGAGGAATGATAGACATTTTCTCAAATCATACAGCCGCAGCTATGTTTAGCGTTATCCCCCCCTCCTCTGGGGAAATAAGACTCTAAACCCGATTGTTTATGATAAGGCGTCGAATCAAATCTGGCAGCATAACCCATATCTTCCACTGCCCCATTTTTATTATTATTATTATTTATTTTTTTCATACAGTTTTCTAAGTGGCTGAAGGTACGGCAGCCAAAGGCCTGTCTGCTCTTGTTTACGGCCCCAGCTCAGTCAAAGACTCTATTTAAAACACACCATGAAAAACTTGAGGGAACACACCGCTTTGAGCCTCTTAAGACATGCTTGTGTTTGCTCAACAGCGCTCTGTGGAGAGGGGGGAACTTTATCATAAGTAAAACAAACATTCCCCCTCGGCAAAAATAAGCCAGGCCGCGCTGGATAATGTAATCCATGCACCCCCACGTCAGCGTCTCCCTCTCCCTCTCTATGAGTTCATACTAACAACAGCGGTGAACATTTGTGCTGTCTCCCACTCCCCCGTCATGTACACAGATGTAAAGCAGGATCACATTAGATCATTAGTGTTGATTCAGAGACCTTTTTTTTTTTTTGTGTGTGTTCACACAATCCCCTGTTTTCCCTCCAGGTCTCTCAGTGTGTGTGTTTCTATGTGTGTGTTTCTATGTGTGTGTTTCTGTGTGTGTGTGTGTGAGATTGTGAAGAGGATTTTGTGTATGACTCCCCAAGTAATTGAAGTGTAGGCATTACTGTGGCGTAGAACTAATTACAAACTTCCTTTCTCGCAGTTGAGGAGAAGCCATGAATATTAATATCTTTATGATTCTATATTAGGACCTAACAAGTCTATTAGGTGCCATTCATAAAATATGCATTAAGTTTAGCCATCAATTAATTGCTCTGCTGAGACTCAAATATTGACTAATCTTTCTCGCATGCTCTTTTGCTCAGTATCTCTCATTCTTGGCATAGAGCGGCTCTCAGTCGTGTGTGATGCTTCCTTACTCCATTTTAATTAGGGGAGCATTTAGTTCTGATATTTTTTCTGGATGTTCTTAACCTTTAGTAATACTGCTGCAACAGTTTTACTGCATTTTCCTTCTGGTTCAATCGTCTAATTTAATAATAGTTGAGTATGGTTTTCGGAGGTTTTAAGAATGTCCTTGTAATGTTTTTTAATGTTGTGGCCTTTCCCCAGTGGGAGGAAGTGAGTATTATGGATGAGAAGAACATTCCCATTCGGACGTACCAGGTGTGTAACGTCATGGAGCCAAACCAGAACAACTGGCTCCGCACGGACTGGATCCCCCGCGGTGGTGCCCAGCGCGTCTACATCGAGATCAAGTTCACCCTCCGAGACTGCAACAGCCTCCCGGGGGTCATGGGAACCTGCAAGGAAACCTTCAACCTTTACTACTACGAGTCCAACAACGACAAAGAGCGCTACATCCGCGAGAACCAGTTCGGCAAGATCGACACCATCGCCGCCGACGAGAGCTTCACGCAGGTGGACATCGGCGATCGCATCATGAAGCTGAACACGGAGGTGCGAGACGTGGGCGCCTTGACCCGCAAGGGCTTCTATTTGGCCTTCCAGGATGTCGGAGCGTGCATTGCGCTCGTGTCTGTCAGGGTCTTCTACAAGAAATGCCCTTTAGCGGTGCGTAACTTGGCCCAGTTTCCTGACACCATCACTGGAGCCGATACCTCCTCGCTTGTGGAAGTTCGTGGCTCGTGCGTGGATAATTCAGAGGAGAAGGAGGTTCCCAAGATGTACTGCGGGGCCGACGGAGAGTGGTTGGTGCCCATTGGGAACTGCCTGTGCAACCCTGGATATGAGGAGCGCAATGCAGAATGCCAAGGTAAAGAAGTGGTGTTTGACTTACTGGCTGTTTTTGCTCCTTTTGCTATTTATAGAGCTCTCTCTCTTTCCTTTGATGGCCTGTCTGTACTGTATCCTACCTCTCTTTCATTTCTCCCCTTCCTCTCTTTTCCTTTATGCCCGTTTCATTCTCTTTGTCCTTCCCTCTCCTCCCTCCCTCGATTCACCTACCTCGTACCCTGTGGGACATGGTTTTTTCTCCTCTCCTCGTCTGGTTGGGCGATAGAAGCAATGATGACTGTAAATGGAGTAATTAGCGGGCCCACTGGGAGGTGTTGTGCAACGGGGTGCATCCCAGGAGAATTGGTGACACCGGGGAGGGGAGGGTGTAGAGCTCCGACTGGTTCGCACCATCGCTGTGTCTTTCACCCCCACCTGCTCTTTCTCTTACTCCCAATGGAGCCTGAAGCTGGGAAAAAGAGATAGGCAGTTGTAGGGGAAGGGAAGGGGAGAGAAACGAGTTTATCATTCCAAGCAGGTATGAGAGGAGTGGAAATACACAGCTGGGAGATGGAGTTGAAATACTGCTGTTTGGTAGGGGGCAATAGCCCTTCGCGGACGATTATTCTAGTCTCATCTCATTGTGATCCTATACCAGGCTTTTTGATGAGGTTTTAAGGTCAGTGCAGAGCACCTCCTTCCACGCTTTTTAAAATCAGGAGCATGATAGAGGCTTCAGTGTGTTGCTGAATTCAGGAATGGCCACAAAACCTGCCAATAGATCCCTCCCAATTTCTGCTTCTAGAGTTTTCTAGCCCGGGCTCTCTCTCACGATGATTGGCATTTTTGATAGACTCTCCCCTTATTTAACTCGGTTGTTTCATTGCGCGCAGTAAATTGTAGTTTATGGTATGCAGCACTGTATTGTGGGTAGCGTCGGGTAGTATTCAGCAGCTGCTTTGTGGATCTCGCATTGCAGCATTTTGCCAAGCCGAGGCGCAGTTGTCAGCCGGCCAGACGAGTGGATGCTAATTCTGCCACGATGGTTTATTGGTGCACACCACCCTCCACCCACCACCTCCACACACAAAAAAGCAGTGGGCCACAGCAGTGAGGGGTCAGAGGCTGGGCACGGGTGATTAACAGGGGGATGGACCACTACACCTCTCCTTATTTACAAGGGAGCCTTTATCTTGGGGGACTAATTGCATGACAAACAGGTCTGGTGATTTAAGGGTACTACTGGCTGCTTGGGGGGTGGGCGGAGGAAAAAGGGGGTACAAGTGGCCACAGATGGGTTTGTGTGTGTATTCGTGTGTGTGTGTGTGTGTGTGTGTGTGTGTGTGTGTGTGTGTGTGTGTGTGTGTGTGTGTGTGTGTGTGTGTGTGTGTATTTGTTCCAAAAAAGTATAATTTGAGCCTTAAGAATTCACTTGGAATGTCGCCCATCTTCCCCGTCGCTGGGCTCGGATGGCTGCGGCCAGGTTTCTGTCCCCGGGGTCGGCTTCAAAGGAGCTCAGAGGAAAATGGAGGGGTTGAGTGAGGGAGACCAGAAGGTAGTTAGTTACAGACTTTAGGTAATTCTCCCCTGGACCGGCTCTCTATCATGCAGTTTACTATAATAACCTCTCATTTCAACCCTGATCTCATGCTGTATGTCATAACTTCAATTTGCCCGCAACGCTGAAATAGACTCCTTATCTCTCCTTTAATTCCAGTTAGGATAAATAGCTGTTAACCCTCCAAAGAAGGCAATAAAGGATTTGGAGCCCTTGATTTTATATGACTAATGCAGTCTCGTTGTGTCTGCCAGCCTCTGAGCTGGCAGTGTTGCTTCTCAAGCCAATATATCCATTTAGTTCACATATCACTGCATCTGCTTTGCCTTGTTTAAGTTTGCAGTGCCAATACGTCCACTCCGTTCACTCCGAGCTTCAATTACACTGTTTTAGATGTTTAACATTTCGCTCTCGGTTGGACCGCGGGGTAACGTGCATTGGGTTTGACGTTGCACTGAAAGCCCGAGGAAGTCGGTGCGGGTCGGCTCCGGTGACTCGAGGGTTAAAAGGTGCTGGCCACTGTCACTCTTCAAGTGCAATGATGAGCTGGTTAATATTCCTCAGTGTGACAGGCTCTATGGGAGAGGGGCTCAAGAGACTTAGGAGCTGTTTTTTTTTGGGGGGGGGGGGTTTGGATGAGAAGGGAGAGTCGTGGGGTTATGTGTGTGTGTGTGTGTGTGTGTGTGTGTGTTTATGTTTTTTGTATTAAAAAGTTCTGTCAGCCTGTGTTCATTCTATGTGGCTTGATTTTGGTTCAAACTTTTCTTTCTAAACGATTTCTATGGTTCACATAAGCTCAGTTGTGTGTGTGTGTGTGTGTGCAAGAGTGTGTGTTCGCATACTTGTGTGTCTTTGCTTGTCTTGTGTTCGTGTGGGGTTATAAGGCCACCCTGGCCCCTGGTTCCCAGCCCAGGATGAATGGGCTCTCCTCCATCATTGTTTGGGGCAGCAGCGGAGCCGACTGAGGCTGGTGATGTTTTTCGGGGTGGGGGGTGGGGGGGGTGGCAGAGTCGGGGGCTGATGGGGCACGTAGGAGTTGTATTCTCCACCCCTGGCAGAGGTCAGGGGTCGTCCCCTTCTGCATCCATCTTAGCGCTGCGCCTGACAGGGTCGTGGATCCAGGATTGATTAAGATGTCAGGGTTTTGACAGCTGT